TGTGCATATATAAAAAAATTCTATTATATATATATACATACACAGTCCCAATTAGTAACACCAGTTTAAGTAATAGTTTTTTGCAAATTCCTTAATTTTATAATTGTTTACATTAACAATATTTACTTTTTAGGCAGTATTTACTTTTAAGACAGAATATTTACTTTTAGACAGAAAGGCAAATGGTTATAATTCCATTGTTTTTAGTAAGTAAATTTTTGTTTTTTAATTTATAGGCCATTTTTTAACTTTAAATTTTTTTTGCTTAAATGAAACTTTTAGTACTCTAGCTACTAATGAAAGTATTTTGGACACTTGGCAGAATGTTTTGGACAGTTTAAGAAAGCTTAGGGCAGGATTGCCAAAATCATATTGGTGACCATAGTTTGCTTTAACCTTGCCTAGCCTGGTTATTATTTTATAGCAACCATTTTTATACATTTATATTTATTGGTTGCAAAAATTATAAAATTTTTTTAAAATTTTTAGATTTGTTTATTAATGAAACTTTAAGAAATCTAGCTATTGAACAAGTGTTTTAGACAATTTGAAGAATGGTTTTGGACAGTTGGACATATGGATTTAGGACAGATTAGCTAGATCCATAATGTCTTTAATCTTGCCAACTCTGGCTATCTATTTATTGTGATTACTTTTATTTTAGGTTTTTCTTAAGCATAAAAATTATAAAAAGATAATTCTCATATACTATGCATAACAGCTTGAGAATAGTAAAGTTCAATTATCACATTTCATGACATTTACATGATGTCACTTGCTTATTCTTGTTCACAATAAGGGAAATATAATATATATTAACACCAAACATTTACAACTGAGGAAATAAAATAAATGATTTCATTGAAACATATACATACAGAGCCTAACCAAAAACATATTTACACGTATTATAGTGGTTGCATTTGCTTAAAAACAATATTAACACCAATTGTTAAATGAAATTTATTCTTTATAAGAGACTTCATTCATTCTCACATTTTTGAAGAAATTTTGAATAAAAGATAAGAATATAATGAAAGCAACCATTCTTAAATATCATAAAAATAACTTAAAATATTGCCGATATACATATTTATTCAACACACTTTTCTTTAAGCTAAAGGAGTTAGCACTAAAACTTGTGTCATGTATCAATATTGCAAGTTTTACTCTCAGAATTTTGACATCAGAGGCTGAGTGAACTCTACGAGATGTTTTTTTTTTCTTCAGAAAAGTGCAAATCACAGTTTTGACACAATCTTCAATTGAATTGAAATATTTAGATGGAGTAGTTCTAATTTCAAGAGTTAGATGTTGTGCTATCTGTTGGGGTTGGAGCCACATTAGCAAGTCTTCGATGTTCATAATTTACCAATCTTTTGCCTACTAAATATCTGAAAAATATAAAAAATGGATGTTAAACTGCAAATCAAAAGTGAACAAACTTTTCTGAAACTTATTGCTTAAATCCCTGACTCTAAACTTCTGGTCTACAAAATATTTGTGGTACGTAGGATGTTTTCATGTGATTCACAAAATATTGATCTTCCCAAACAATATTTTGGATTTGGATGACACCTTATTTAAATAACACAATATATTAATTTGCAAAGTTAGAACAAAATGCCAAAATTAAGAGAGTGATCAAGGTGAAAATAAAAAGTTCTAAAGGCATAAAAATGTGCTTCATAAATAATTTAATTTAAGTCTTCTTTTATAAATAACTTCAAGGGAATATGTAATAATGCAACAGCATCTTAATTTATGCCTCATAATGAGTTCCTTTCATGAACTATGATAAACCTATTTTTTCTTCATTATACATTAGAGATTGTGTGGTAACAATCTATATCATATAATGCATATAAATGTGTATTGTAGAGCATTCTTTTTTGCACAAGCATCAAAGACCTGAAAACTATAATATCATTCTTGAACAGTCATAAAATTATCTTTATCACTGATGATTAAGAGTTATAAATTTTTAACTTATAATTCTCTCAATTTATATCAATCACTATCATAAGGTTACAAGCAAACAGTTCATATAAACATTATTTTAATTTTAATTAGGTTTATTAATTTATGTAGATTCAATAATTTAGTAGATTCAATAATAATTTAAAATAATGATTCATAATTAATGCAGAAAAGAGAAGGGAATAAATAAAGGTTGGCCAGCTGTGCTTTTTTCTCCATCTTTTTTCTTTGGTTTTAAAATATTTAAATTTATTATTGCGCATATATAAAAAAATTCTATGAATTGTTTCAAATTTTACATTCCGAGTATTATTAAAATGCATGAAAATAAAATGGTTGTATGTATAAATTGAATGAAATGCCATTGAATATAAGGTTTTAGACGATGTATATGTCCCTAATTTGTATAATTTTATTTTAATTAGAGTAACACCACTCATACAAAATAAGATTAAAATACAGAAGTATTCAATGAGCAAGTGAAGTAATATGAGAGAAATGCAAAAGCAGTTTTATAGTCACCCAACAGCATTAAGGTCACCTACTAGAATTATATATTTTATTTTACTTATACACTTATAAATACGTGTAAAACAGAATAAATCATGATGTTCATTCCATTTAAATAGTATGTAATAGACCTAAGCCTCTTAAAGTTTCAATTTATTTTAAAGTATGGGGTTCGCCTTTGAATTGATTTGATAAGGTATCTTAACAATTTTCAGGTAGGAAAAAATTGTGAATCACCAGCCAAACTTATACGTTTACTATATTTGGCAGAATCAAAAGATAAATTATCTGGCATTGTAAAGAATGGGTACTTACTTGTCATTTTTAATGTGCTCATAGAGCCGGAAAAATTGTCGCACTTGAAAAATTATGCCAGCTAAAGTAAGACAAAGCGCTAAAACTGCAGGATATATCCTTCGGTAAACAAAATTTTGAAGCTCAAAACTGGAGGCTGTAAAATAAAGAAACCAAATTTCAATCAATAATTATAAGAACAGCTAAGTATTAAAAAAATATATTTAAATGGAGGTATTTAAGATATGACTAAAGCTTTTAAATATTGCTTTTATTCTTTTTAATTTCTGAAAAAAATACTTCAGATCAACTCCTAGAAACTTGTTTGTTATAAATGACGAAAGAGGAAGAAAATATTAAGCAACACTTTTGAAACATTTGTGTGAATTAAATCATGCCAACCCTTAAAAAACACCAACTTAAAAAAACAAACAAAAAAAACATGTGAAACCTATGCTTAAATTGGATTCTTTTGAGGCGTGAATTAATCTGCCCTTTAATAAGTATCAATTGTTATTTATTTGATTTTAATATATAAAACCCTACCTTTCAAACTTAATGCATGATTTTATTATTCAGTAACAGAAAACTAATGCAATTTTGATTGTTGATGATAGATTTTTTGTTAATCTCAGGTAACAAAATTGAATTTATGATTTCAGAATTGAAGTAAAATTAGTTTTTTACATCATATGTATATTTTTAGACTAAATTAAATGACTAAAATGAATATCATTAAATAAACAGTACTTGTGAATAACGTTAGCCAAAGAGTATACTGGCTTTATTTTAACAAGAAAATGAAACTATAATTTGAAATATATATATATATATATATATTGAATTTAAAAAACAATAAAAACAAACTAACAAAAACAGCATATTTCTATAATCTAAATAATATGCTTTTTGGTCACAGAAGGAAATAGTAAGAAATCTTTAATTAATATCCATGGGAAAAGATGGTACTACAATGAAACAAATTTTTTTTTTATTTATTGAATTATTATTTTTCTATGAAGCAAACATTCATTTAAACAAAAAAATTTTTTTTAAATAAAAATTGAAATTTAGGCACAAAAGAAAAAAATCTTATTCTTAAAAAAGGAAAAAAAATCCGAATAAAAACTATACAATTGATTTTTTTAAAATTTTTTATACCCAGATGGGAAGTAGAGACAACCCAAAACCTATAGTCAAAACATTAACTTAAAAACTGATTTACTCTATCTCTTCAAAATGTCACTTAAATCTACTTAGTTCTCTTCAAGTAACTCTTAGTAACTACATATTAAGAAAATAATTCAAATTTTTTTTTCGTTGTGTAACTTTACATGTTTTATAGGGTAAAAGAAATTTCATAAATGAAAGAAATAAAAGTGAAATGACTTAATACATACTGAACATTGGAATGATACTGCATGCTGCTATGTAAGGCAAGGCAAGGGAGAGACCCAAAACCATTATAACTGGTAAAGCAAGTTCGGTGAAAATTAAACGTAGGTTGATATTACGAATACCTCCGAGGTATACCTAAATAGAATAAAAACAATCCAAATTATTGGCTTTTTTAAAAATTTCATTTCATAACCAGATCCATTTATAAGTTACAATAGTTAAAATTTAAAATGAATTACAATTTATAAAATAAAACAGAAAGTAGTGATAATTTTATTACAAAGCATTTTATTTATAGAATACTTTAGTTAAAATTAAACAATGCTGGTATCTGATTAAGAATGTAAGGTCTGAGTTTTTCTTAACAGTAACACAAACACAAAGTATTGACTTCTTGATATTTATATAAAACTTAATAAACATTTCAAAATAAAGATTAGAAAGATGAACAAAAAAAAAAGTTTTGCAGCAAAAATAATAACCTATAATTGAAGGATTTTTTTCCTCAGTAACATAAGGATTCATTTGAATAATTTTAAATATTAACATAGTTCAACACTTATACAAATGAGCAAACAATTTATAGAAATATATATAAATGACATTTTTCAAGCTAAAAAAAGATTATTATTTTATATAATTTCCACTTAATGAAATTTTCCAAATATCAATAAAAAAAATCAAAATATCACTATGATTTTAACAATTTAAAAAAAGGACCAATGTTTACTTGTTAGACAAATGACTAATATTTAAATACCGGTTACGGTACTTGCACTGTATGACCATTAATAGTATAAATAATTAGATTACAAAAACCAGTTATGGTACTTGCATCTAATTATTTGCACTATGTATTATCATGCATATCATTGCAAAGCTCAATTAAATAGGCAACAGTCAAAAAAGTCCACAATACAAAAATTTTATCTGCAAAAATTTCCATGATATCAGAGTTTAATTTAAAAGAAAGTTAAGGATATACACATCTTCTTAATGCTTTTAAATGAAATAGAATAAATTTTGAAAAAAAATTGAGCACATAATATCAAAATAGAATATAAAATAAGACACAAAATTAGTAATCTGTGTAACAAGATCACAAGATGAAACTAAGTTCCTTAAAAAATAATAACTTTTTTCAAAAGACCAAACTAACTTATGAAAGAATCACAAAAACATATTTAGCACCAATAAGTCTAGAGTCTCTAATTTCACTTTATCTTTAGTTTAATTTTAAGTGCAGACTTTCCTTTTGAAAGAAATCACACTAGTCTCTCCCCTCTTCTCTGAGAACTTTTACATAAACACATTATTTACACTTTGTAAAATCGGGGGTCATATCATATAATTTTTCCTTAGTACATGTCCATGCTAACAGGCATCTTGTATTTTCAACTCAGGTTCAGGAAAGAGGAGTATGCAGAAATTCCAGAGATTCCTTTTGAAATACCTAATTTCCTCTTGCAAGCAAAAAAATATAACTGAAAAACAAAACTTGGGCCAACAAATTTTACCTGGTGTCTGCATTACAGCAACAAATTCAATCCTGTTGTTTCCATTAAATTAGAGTTTTGAAATTCTCCGGTAATTAATCAATTCCATGTATACAAACTGCTTCATTTAAAATAAGCAACTAGTTTTTCTCTTTTGTTTATTTCTTTGAAAAAATCAATTTTATTCGATGACAGCAAAGTTTGTGCAGGAAGATAGCAAGACATTTTAGCAACAATTCAAACATTTACCAAACAAAATGATCCTGAATATTTAAAGATGATTCAATGACATGTTTAACGAAACAAACATGCCTAAGCACATGAAGCCCCAGAAAGCCTTCTAAGCAAACACTATTAAGATGACAAAAACAAGCAATATCAAAACTGTCTTAGCATTCATACAATACGAAGTAGTGTTCAATACGTAGTGTCGAAGTAGTGTTAGTACAATTCAGCATAAGTTATCAATAATTCCAACATTTTTTGAAATATATATATCAAGGCAGTGTGCCAAAAAAGGGAAACAGAGCAGGCATGAAGATATAAAAACGAAACAGTTATTTTTATAATCATAGTATAATTATCATTTATTATCACATATTATCATTTTAGTATCATAGAATAATTCAATAAAAATAGAAACAGTTCAGTATAAACGTTAGGGAAAATCTTGCAAACTTATCCCGACGATCTCTTAAATCACATGCAAAAAAGGAATTATTTCTTTTAACTCCTTCAAAAAATAGGTCAAGGAATCTCCCCGGCTCTCACGCTTGGTTATGGGAAAAACTTAAAATGTTAATTTTAGCATTCTTTAATCAAAATTTGGAACTAAAATGCCAGATGTGAGTAATAAATGATAAAGAAATAACACAAAAAGATTTGTTAAAGCTTTTTATATGTTATGTATAGATACTGTGAGCGGGTACAATAGAAAATTTTCCTCATGCATGGTCAAAAAAGTTTGGAGATTCTTAATTTTGTAACAAAAAAATTTAATTACCTGCTCGATGACTCTCTTAATCCACCAATTGGGTCCAACAAGTACAACCGCACAGAAGGTTTTAGTGAGCAGCACACCTATGGCCCAATCCTAGAAACAATAAAAGGTTTTGTTAACAAACTGAAAGGAATTAACAATTTCTTCACATTTAAACATTATGCACATCAGTTTACCTGCCAAAGTGAGATTAAAGGAGTGTGGTGAAGAGATACTCTAGCAGGAACAGTGAGTACAAGATCTAATAAGAGTCCAAACAACACTGGAATAAAACCCAGAAGCACACTCATCGCACAAATCATTTTTACAGCCTAAAATTTACAATTGCAATTAGAATTTCAAAATACAGCATAAAAAAACTTAACGTCTTCAAAAATAATAAACTAATAATTTATTAAAGTGATCAATTAATATTAACTAAATGCCTTTCGACCAAAAAAAATTCTTGGAGTTTACAAAAATAGTTACATTTTTATAGCAAAACAATTTGTCTAAGCCTGATAAACAATTAAAACTTCGCTTCATAAACAAAAGTTATGTAAAATAATAGCGCAATAGATAGCTTTAAAAACAGAAATTATGCAGAAAAAATTTAATGATATTACTGAACCAAAAAGACTTATATACAATGTAAAAAAATTATTAGAATAGCTACTGAATTGAATCAAGGATAAATTTTTAATAAATATAATATAATAAATATATATTATATTAGAACTATACAGTTATTAAAAGTTTCAAATAAGTCAGCTAATGTGCAATACAGAAAAATGAATTTTAAACGTTGAACACATTCATAAGTTCTTTCAAACTATGTAGTTAATATATGCATATTTCTTTAATATTTTCTTACCTCAATTTAAAAAATGATACTCATATTGGATAGTTATAAAAAAATAGAAATATAAGCTTTTGTTATTATCATTCTAATTATCTATTTCAAACCATATGTAAATCAATACAACACTAATATGGTATCAATAAAATAACACATTATTTTTATACTTAAAAAAAATAATAGCAATTACTCACTATGAGAATCCATTCCTTTAGTTTGGCAGAAACGGTGTTCCACCCCCTAGGGATCCAGCTCCACAGTAGTGTGCATACACGCAAAATAATCCAGCATACATAAAGTCCACACCCAATAGTATATAATTCATGTACTTTGGTGCTACCAAGCCATAATGACATCAGTTTTCTTCCAACGTACACTAAAGAACAATTATATTAGATCAGAAGATTAAAGAACGTTTCAAAAAAAAAAAAAATTTTAGCTACAATTGAAAAAAGCATGACTGATATATGTTTGCTTTTAAATAAATACAAATATTTAAAAGTAATTATAAAAGTATACTTGGGCACTTTCAGGATCAAACCTTGATCTGTAATGGCCGAATTCGAAAAAATAGGACTCATTAGTAAAATAAGTACATACTGAAAAATATTTGCAGAAATGACTTTAAAATAAGAATAATCATTAGCTTAAATTTAATTACAAGTAATCAATAATTACAGCACATTTTCAAAACCCTTTTTTAAGATTAAATATTTTTATTGGCAAACAAATAAAAAGAAACTGTACGAACAAAAACTACATTATACCAAGTATAATAGAAAAAAAGAAATACAATAGTAAGATTTTAAAATATTAAAAGTTTTCAACAGAAAAAAATGCAAAATGTTGTAAAAGATCAATTTTGTTTTGATGTGTATATTTAAATTTAGTGTACATTAATGGTAGTTAAAAAGTTTAAAGTATAACGATATTAATTATGATAAAATGCAATTTTAAAATGTCATACTTTGTACTGAAGAAATTAAAAGGAAGAAAATCAATAAAACATTTATATGAAAAACAAACCTGGCACAGTAATCATGATTAAGCTTCCCACTGTTAAACTAATGCATATGAACATAATCAAACAAATAATCTGTAACAAAAAGAAAAATTATCAGTCTTTAAATTCTCTACAAGAGAAACAGAAAAAGATGAAGTCAATTTTAAAGATAAGCTGTGAAGAGACAATAAAAAATTATTGAATAATGCCTTCCAGGAATTTCTGAATAAGTTACGATAGACCAACTGAAATCCAGACATTCATTCTACTCAATCTGTGTAATTCCCACAACACAGTATAAATAATGTTTCAAATATTAAGGAACAATTTTTTTTTATAGAGAAATTTTTAAATTTAGGATTTGATTAGTCTTTTAATAACAAACTACCTTATTTTTCTTCATTCATTCTTTTAATTAATAAAGGCCAAGACTTAATTACAATTTCTAAATTATAATGACAAATTTAAACAAGAAATCAAAAAGCATGATTAGATTTAAGAAGTTTTTCAAATTTAAGCATAAGGCAAGAGTCTTTAACTCAAACTAGTTTGTAGATCCCATTTCTATTTCAATCTCATTAAAAAAAAAGTTTTATATCTTTAATTTCTTATCTACTGTCATATATATCAGTATATATCAGTTTTAAAATATTTATATCAGTTATCTACATAGATATCAGTTATTCACATATATATCAGTTTTAAAACATTAAAAAAAATTTTTTTTTTTTTTTACATTTTTGTTGACATTTTTATACAAAATATTATTTATGACGAACTTACATATTTTTTGCCTAAACTTATTATTTAAGTTTATGCTTTATTACACTTTTGCTCTAAAAACAAGTTTTTTGGACACAACAAATGTTCAGCGTTGAAGGCATTTCAAATAATTCACTGTTAGTGTTAATAGAAAATAAAGCAAATCATTTTTGAAATCTAATTTAAATTTTAATTAGTAATGAGTAAAGCATAATGTATTCATTGCTTTATAAGTGCTGGAAAATTATAAAATCAATTTAATTAGTAACTTATGCTAAAATATTTTACTCATTGAAAAAACTATATAAAAATGTGCTCAGAAACATGTATTTAAATAATATGTTACTGACTGCTGTAGTTCATGCCATAATTGTTTTAACTACACTTATGGGGATTGCTGGAGGAAGGATAGTGGGCATCTGTTACCCTCAATAAATAGAAATCTCTTAAAGTCCTCTTTAATATTTCAGACAAATAAAGAAAATTTTTGTGAAACATCATAGATTTAAATTTTTTTTTCTTATGGGTGAAATTAAGAAACTATTATGACTGCATATTTTAATTTCATCCCCTCAAAAACTAGACACCTACGACACACAACTATGGTTTGTCAATGGGAAAAACTCATCATACCACAAAGTCCGTCTACATTATAGGAACAAGAAATGGCGTAATTCAAAGATCTATCTTCCCAGACACCCTTTCTTATGCCGACCTGAACCAAAACATGTCTTAAATATTGACCTAACACCCCTACTAGAAATAATTAAACCTCCTAATCATTGTTCCTGCCACTGCTCTAGACCAGGGGTCTCCAAACTTTCTAGCCTTAGGGCCATACTGATAACTCCAGTAAGTTCCGAGGGCCAAAACCATATTATCATTGTTGCCGGTGGTAAAAAGTGAAATAGTCCACTGATGAAAAAAAAAGTCTGAAAAAGTCCGCAACATTTAAAAAAGGCTGCAAATCGGACTAAAGTCCGCAAAACGGCAACATTGCATATTATTAATTTTCCTGTCATTATCTGTAATTTCTAGATTAGTCATAGAGTACGAGCCATGAGGAGCAACGTGACACGACATCTGGTGGACACAAGCGTAAATAGGTAGTACCTTCTATCGCTAACAGATGGCGCTAATAGCACGTACAGAATAATCTCGTTGGTTCGAGAAAGTTCTGGTGTCTTCCACTCACTTCTAGATGGCAGTAATTGGAATATATAAGAAGGCTAGTGGCGCAACCACAAGTCAGTTCCTATGACACTGTTGTGAAATAAAATAGTGCGTACCTCCTTAAAACGTGTTTGTGCGTGTTTAAGTTTAAGACATCTTTGTAACAGTATTTTGATTTGAATTGTTGCTTTTGTGTGTGATTTAGTAGTATGGAAAAGAAGCGAAAAATTGATAGTGAATGCAGAAAATTCAAAGATCAGTGGAACATTCAGTATTTCGTAATTGAGTCCAGTAACAAGGCGCTATGTTTGATTTGCAATGAAAGCATAGCCGTTCTCAAAGAATATAACATTAAACGTCATTATGAA